TGTAGTCAAATGAGGGGGGTTTTGACATAGCACTCCCTTTTGTCCCTCACACAATCATGGGAAGGAATCATGGGAAGGAATGGGAATGGACAATTATTACTGCAGCTAGATGTCTCAATTCCAGCCTCGATTACAATAATAACTTGGTCTTTCTTCTTGAAGAGACTGAATCAAATTCTGAAGGAACGCTCTTCAATTTATTTTTGTTTTTAGGAGCGAACACAGCTCGACCAGGAGACCAGTTTGTGAGTAACGCCATCCCAAGGGCTCGCAGTCAAGTCAACTTTGCAATCAATGAGACCCTGTCTCAGCTGTTTGACAGAACCCGCTCTCACACTGTTCAGGTAACATTATATTGATAATTATAGCAACAACCAACCGTAAAATTTTGAGTTTTCGTGGTCTGAGAAAAATATGGTACCCCCTCCCCTCACCTCAACACCCTCAACTAATGAGCATACTATATGAATAGGGTCTTTCTTTATCTGTCTGTTTTTCTGCCTGTCTCCCTCTCACACAAATACAAACAGATGTACTCACACCCACATATGCACACCCATACACATATACACACACACACACGCACTCACTCACACACACACACACACACACACATATTAATTTAAAGAGCATATGTATACATGTCCGTTCACTTGTGTTCTAGTTCTATGTTGAGATTAAGGAATTTGTAAAGTGCCTCAAGGTTTATTGTACAGTAGTGGACGCTATAGAAATCATCTGTATTATTATTACCCACACCTGTATGTGCGCGCGCCCATACACACATATTCCACCACACATCCTCTCTTTCACATACAACTATATATTTGTCATCTAGTTGTAATTCTGCTGGACGCCTGTCCGACCTCTTATTATATCTGTCTACTGGTAATAATATGTATGTTTTATTTGATGCTAAGGATCTGCTGACTGCATTCCGATATCCTGCACCAGAAGCACTGGACTTGGCTCGGGCTGAGGAAATCTATGAGCAGACCCTTGAGATCATCCATCAGCATGTGAACGAAGGACACTCATATGATCTTGATGGCTTTGGTATGTCTAGCAGTAAAAACAAAGATTTTCTGCGCTTTTATTTATTTCTCCTTCTCCACCTTCCCTCCACACCCAGAGCAATGGAATTAGTTTTTTGTAATAAATATGAGAGTGAACATAACTTTTAAAAATCAAAACATTAAAAAAATGTAGCCTTTTATGGTTTGAAAGATAGAGGAAAGAGGAACTAAATTGCAGTTAATTAAGAAGGAGATTTTAAAGAGATCTGAGAAAGAGGTTATATTTTTCATAATTCATGAAATGCAAATATTGATTTTTTAATATGTAATTTAGATCATTCTATTGTCATTTATACTTTTTAGAGTTATTGCGCAGCAACAATTAGGAATGCGAACATTTGATGCTTTGTTTGCAATTCATCCTCAGAGACTTCCTACCAAGAGCTCGTCTCTCCAGCCCACTTGCACCTCATTGCAAACATGTCAGGCTGCTTGCGACGAATTCATGACGCTGACTGCTCGGACAGCTGCTACCACAGACGCTACCGCACCATGGATGGCACCTGCAACAATCTGCAAAACCCCACTTGGGGTGCAGCTAATACTGCCTTTAAAAGATTGCTGCCTCCTATCTATGAGAATGGCTTCAATGCCCCAGTTGGTAAGATGGCGCAATTGCACCTGGATAATTTGTCAAAGACGGTACATTTTATGATGAGTCACATGATTGACTCAACCAGCAACTATAGTGTAATTGAATGATTTTTGGCATTGCACACAGGAAATGTAAGTTGGATTTCTGAATTCGAAAGTTTGTTTTATAGATGGAGTATGCCCATCTTTGTTCTATGATACAGTACCCCTCACAACCCAAGTTAACCCTGGCAGTCAGGGTCAAAGAAGCCTGCCTCTTAAAAGACTCTGATATGAGCTATGGTCAATGGGGTCATAACACTCTTCCAGGCTGAGTGAGCACATTTTGATAAAGACATTTTGAGGACAGCATAGATGAGTTGAGTTCAGAATCATTGGAGAGAAGTTGTGCAAAACTTATTTCAGAACTAAAAGATTTTTTTATCGTAAGCAACTGCTGAGTTTGGTTTGGTTCTCTGGTATTTGAGGAAAGGGAAGAATCTTGTGTAAAGAGAATTTTGTGCTTACTTTTCATCATTATCATCATCTTCTTCATCATCATCATCATCATCACCACCACCACCACTACCATCATCATCATCATCATCATCATCATCATCATCATCATCATCATCATCATCATCATCATTATCATCATGTTGAAACATAAAATAAAAATAGTGCTGCAAATATTTCAAACAGATTAATGTATATTTTTGAATTTTAAAATGGCTCAATTTTTCTGATTGTTACAATGTGGCTCTCACCCTGTCTGTTATCCAGGCTGGACTCGTCACAAGTTGTACCGAGGGACTCATCTTCCCAGTGCTCGTCTCATTTCCTCGCTGCTCATGTCAACTGACCGTATCACCAATGATGATTTGTACACACACATGTTGATGCAGTGGGGACAGTTTATTGACCATGATATGGATTTAGCACCTCAAGTAAGGATGGTCTATTACAACACTTTTTTAAAGTAAAGGGAAATGAAGCCTTTAAACGCTGAAAATGTGAAAAAACTTTTCTTTGCCAGAATTGATATCATTGGCCATAACAGAAATGATCTTAACCTGTGTTTCTTTGATTTCTTTTAAGGAATAGTCTCCTCCGCAGATGCATTGGCCATTGTCAGATATTGACAGACAAACTATTATCATTATGATTATGATTATTTTAGATACAGGGGCTCAAGAGAGGGATGATCATAAAAAGGGAGCATAAATTATTATCCTGTAGTCAAGTTGGTCCATCAAGAGAAGAGTGTTGAATTATTTTCACAGTAGGCATCGCCCAAAGGCTCACACAACTTCAGAACAACTTCTTTGCCGAGCTTATTCATTCCATTTACCATTTTTCATATTTCCTGAAATGCAAATATTATTGCTTTTTTAATAAATATGTAATTTAGATAATTCTATTGTCATTTATTCATTCCCGCACTAAAACAAAACAACTTACATTAACACTCACACACACACTCACACACACACACACACACACACACATACACACTCAAACACACACACAAACACATAAACACACGTACTCACAAACACACACACACTCACATACATAACTCATATATATACACTTAGACAGACACACGCTTATGCCTACATGCCCATGCATGTACTCAAACATAAATCTCAATCTATTACTGGAAATAAACTTAAGCTCAGCCGATCTGATACAATTAAGACTATTCTCTCATCCACAGGCAATCAGCTATGCCAGATTTAGTGATGGTCGGCGCTGCAATGAGACGTGTGAGAACACCAACCCCTGCTTCCCTATTGCTGTCCCTGCTTCTGATCCCCGAATTCAGAATCGCGAATGTCTGGGCTTCACCCGTAGTAGTGCCACATGCAACACAGGTTCAACATCACTTTTCTTCAATACAGTGGCTCCCCGCCAGCAAGTGAACGCCCTGACAGCATTCATAGATGCTAGTAATGTGTATGGCAACAGTGACAGGATGGCTAGCAACTTGAGGAATTTGGCCAGTAACCGAGGCTTGCTCAGAGAAGGTGAGTCTTTCTTTTTTGGAAGGTTTGACTAAGTTTTATTGCTGTTTTAACTGTTTAAAACGAAAAGGAATAAAATAATACTTTATTGAAGTTTAATATCTGAATTTTGTTTTGCGATATCCCCTCTCAAACAGGATTAAATTCTCTCATTTCTTAAGATGCTGAGTCTTTGAACTCCCTACGACCAGAGGAACAATTGTGGTAGATTGTCAAGAGACTGCAAATAATATGCTCTTTATCCTATTAAATGTAGGTTACTATAAAAAAAATACAATATTACTTTTCAGGTCCTGCTAGTGTGGGAAATAAGAGACTGCTCCCATTTGATGACGATACTTTAGAACATATCGACTGCCAGATTGAGCCAAGCAAACAGCATGTTCCTTGTTTCCGTGCTGGGGATCCCAGAGCTAATGAGCAGCTGGCTCTAACAGCCATGCACACACTGTGGATGAGAAGGCATAACCACATCGCTTCAGTTCTCAACAGAATTAACCCCCACTGGGATGGGAATAAGATATATCATGAGGTAAGAAAAATTGAGGTCTGGATCAGATCATAAGGAATAAAAGAAATACAACAGAACAACAGGAACAGTTGACTGATTCTGATTTATTTGTTTACAAGATACTTTATTAAAATCTTTATACCTACCATTCTGCTACCTACATGAGAATCACTAGTTATGAGCTATTCAAGATTGTTGAGAGCATTTTGGTGTTTGGTTTTCCGTTGAAATGAGCCTGGAAGGTGGAAGAAGGTGACAAGGATATTTACAGAATGGATTTGCATCTTAAGTTTATCTTTGTTCTTTGCAACAATCCAATAAAATGAAACGGAAATGAAGTAACACTAGGTCATGGATAACAGACAGTGTGCGGTGAATTTTCATCATGTACAAAATCTTTAATAATCTAATATAAATTTAAACATTGTTCTCACATTTATTCCAGGGAAGGAAAATAGTTGGCGCTTTGATGCAGCACATTACATACACCCACTGGCTTCCTAAGATTATCGGTCCCAAAGGAATGGCAATGATGGGAGCTTACTCTGGTTATAAGCCTAATGTGAATCCTTCAGTCGCCAACGAATTTGCTGTGGCAGCTCTGCGGTTTGGCCACACTCTTGTCCAGCCGGTGATATTCCGCCTGAATGAGTCTTTCCATGAGGTGGAAGAGGGACACTTGCCACTCCACCAGGCTTTCTTCTCTCCTTACCGACTCTTGGAGGAGGGAGGCATTGATCCTCTTCTCAGAGGAATGTTTGGGAGGGCAGCCAAAAAACGCATGCCAGGTGAATGAGATTTCAACTCTTTCATATTTGTAGTTGGGAAAGAAGGGGGACGGGGGTATGCACACTTATGCAGTTGCGAGCTCTGTAAATTTTTTACTAAAGCAAGGAGGGCGTTGGTTTTTTTTCACTAAGTGATGTGTGTTTTAGAGAAGTTGATTGATGGATTTTAGATCTTCTATGCTCTCATTCACTCATGAAAAATGATTTAGGACTTATTAGGAAGGGAACTTGTTTGACCTGGTCAGTCAGGGCTGATCCAAACTCAGGGGGAAAAGGTATCCTAGAGAAAGATGGAGATACTGGACAAAGTAAACTTCCTTCCGTGGGAATCGCTGTGGACAAGGCAAAGAGATTTACCATAATATCACAAAAGCAGGCTTTAGTGGTGAAAAGAACTCCATTTTTTAAGTTAATTTTTAATTCAAGACCGGTGGTACGTCTTTAAGGAAATTTTTGTTTTTAATAGCTTGATTTGTCTGAGGCAGACTGTTTGTGGTATATTTCGTATTTGGTATTGTTTGAGGTGAATTATCTATAAAAGTTTGCTTATGTGCTTCACCTTTCATAACAAATGTCTTTTGTTGTCCGTTCCAGGCGAGTTCTTTAACTCTGAGCTCACGGAGAAACTCTTCAAGTTAGCGAATGCTATTGGTCAAGATCTAGCCTCTCTGAACATACAAAGAGGGCGAGACCATGGTATTCAGTTCTACAATGATTACAGGGAGCATTGTGGCTTGTCTAGAGCGACTACATTTGAAGATCTGAGTGCAGAGATACAACACAGAGATACCCGAGATAAACTACAGGCTCTCTATGGACATCCAGGTAACAAAGGAAGACTATAGGGGAAGAACTGGTGATGTCATGTTTTCCTACTAACTGAAAATTTAGATCCACGGATTTCCTGCTTCTTTCATGAGTTGAATTCTTGGAATCGTGTGTGTTCTATTACTGAAATAATCATTTAGTAGTTATTTGAGACAGATTTCATCTTTTTTATTTCATAATTTTCTTGCATAGTGGAGAATCAAAGAAAAAGACTGGGGGCTGTAGGTGGACTCCAAACAGGCAGTCAGCCGTGTGGCATCGTGATTTGCATCCTGTGATGAGTGAGGTGGGGCTGACGGTAGAGAGAGATTATGCGGAGAGACGTGATACATAAGGCACTGAGCCTCTCCAAAAGTGATGTGCTATAGCCTTAGGCCGAGGTAAGGCCAAAAAGACGGTAAAAGAAGAGGAGAGTGTGTAGTGTGTCATTTTTTGGTAATTCGCCTTTGCATTCTTATTGCGGGAACTTGCTTACAGCGGGATTTTTCTTCTGGAACTAAAAGTCCCGCTATAGCCATGTTCTACTGTATTTAAAAATCATTTCTTCATTCCAAAAACACCAAGTCTTCGTTGAAAGTTCAGCTGTTTTTTCTTATGTCCTTCACAGATAATATTGACCTTTTCATTGGAGGGCTCAGTGAAACCCTTGTGGAAGGTGCCAAGGTCGGACCAACATTTTTGTGCATTATAGCAGACCAGTTCCAGCGACTGAGAGATGGAGATAGGTGCGGTATAGAGAAAAACTAGGCTCCGTGCTGTCTGTATTATATGAAACTTTTTATAAATTGTTGTCTTGTGTTAAATAACATGATTGTGCTCTGACATTGTCCAAGCACTGACTGCAAATCAGAATTTCAGTCTTTTCAAATTACTACTTGGAATGTTAAGACAATGTATTGGGCAAAACTGTAAACATAATACAGGAAATGAATAAGTAGGCTTCATAAGTTGATATTACATATACTGGGTTCTTACAAATTTAGAAATGAGAAGGCTCATTGAAAAGAGTGAGTAAAAGCAGGTATTTTCAGGAGGAAAAAAAACAATGAAAGAGGAGTTGAAATAAAAGAACTGAAATGTGTCAATCGGAGCATAAAGCATTGTTAACCTTTAACAATCATTACAGGTTCTGGTATGAGAAAAGTGGCGTGTTCACTCCTGAGCAGTTGGTGTCCATTCAGCAGACGTCACTGTCATCGGTGCTGTGCGAGAATAGTGACGGCATCACCAGAGTCCAGGCTGACGTTTTCTTGAGGGTGGACAATGACAGCGAGTACTTGGACTGTGAGCAGATTCCCAAACTGGATCTGAGACAGTGGACAGATTGCTGTGAAGGTAAAGGAGGACTTTTTTGGTGTTGGTCCAGAGATGTGCCATAAAATGGTAGTAAAAGGTTTTAGCCAGTTGTTTTAAAAGGTTGTGTTGGCTCTTTACTCATTATATAGCTCTGTTCTGTCTGAAATGAACTTTGGATCAGAGATGGTTCCACATATAACCTGACAGTGTTAAAAAAGGTTGCAAACTTTACTATTCACTTATAAAAACAATTAAGAGAAGACCAAATGCATTTTCTAGAACACTTAAATCAACGTAAAGGTCTTAAACATCCTTCTACCCCAGAGAAAAATAGAAGTCAAATGAGACAGGGGGTAGACAAAGAGCAAATTGCTCAGAGAATTTGAATGGATGGGTGATAGGGAAAGATCTGGAAAATATGTTTTCTTAAATAACAATATCATAGCAGGAAAAGAAATGACGAACCATGATTGTTGATATCTGCTTCTTGTCTGGTACTTTGATGATGATGATTTTCTGAATATTAATTTTCTCCTCTTTCAAACAGACTGCAGGACACGGGCAACTCTTGCATCCTTTGCTGCTCGCATCAGAGGCAGGAGGTCCACAGAATATAGCTACCCACATGAAAGACCTGTTGAATATCAGGCGCAGAGAAATGAATCCCTCCCAGTAAGTGTAAAAGGAGGAGGGGTTGTGCTTTCTTTAGAACATCCTTCTCGTTTGGTGACATTGTTAGTGAGCTTGAGCTCACATGCACCTAATGCCAAGCAATTTTGGAGACAAGGATTATAGGTGGCTTCTTGAGCAAGATACATTGACCTTAGCCTAAAAAAGGGTTCCTCAGTACAGCCACTTACAATGTCGTGCTACCATTTCAGTTTGTGATGTTATGTTATGGATGATTTTGCATGTCATTGCAAAGTTAATCTTACTACAGAGTTAGTAATGTTGTCTGTTCTTTTCCTTTTTTGAAATTCTCTGCTAATAACCTCTAACTCAAATTTTTATCTATTTGTAGCCTTGCTTTTTGCTAGCAGTATTAGATGATCACTGTGACGTTGATATGGTTCTGCTTGAGTCACACATTGTTCAGTAAATCAGAGTTTATGCTGGAGTTGAAAAGCTTAGCACAATGTATTTTAAGTCACTTAAAATGAACAGTAGCCTGCAATTGTTGGTTAATTGAAAAAGTAGTACACCCCATAATATTCACTATAAAATGCAAAGGACAAATGCCCACATCTACCTATCTAAATTACTGCAGGCTTTAACACTTTGCAGTCAGTGTAATAATGCGATGGTGAAAATTATCCATTCCTGTTACCTGGCGCAGAACTGTCTCAGGCACGAGAAGTCCGTTACTGTCACTCTCCTGGCTGGGTAACCAGATGGGGTATTTTGTACTGCTGGCTGTGTGACTGGAAAGGGTTAATTTACGCTTATATATTTGATTTTTTAAATTTTCAGAGCGCTGATGAGGAGCAGAACGTTGAGGAGTCATCAGACAATGTAAACAGAGAGGGAGAGGAGGCTTTAAATGCAAAGATTGATGCCGTTGTACAGAGAGAATCAGAGGACGTTGATCTGATGGACTCAAGGATTGAGGGAATTGAGGAAACAATGATGGAACTTCATGAACTTGTCAGTCATTTGAAAAGAAAAGTAGGTACCCTTTCATAAATATGTCAAGACATGGTAGAATCAGGTGCTCGTCAAATTTTTGTGGATATGGAGTTATTGTTATCATCTTAAAGCTTGTTTGTTGTCTTGCTTTTGATGAAAAAAAATTTGCATCTATTTTTAGCAGAAGTCCAGGTAATAATTTATTTGTGATTGAAGGAGATGGTGTCAGAAGTAAAATTAACTAGAAAATGGCTGCTAAAGTCTTGTGGCTTCCAAAGCTTAAATGTCCTTGGAAATTGACAAGTTTCATTTTCTGTGCCTTTGATCAACGATTTTCAATAACATCCACACAGAAATGTGTTTTTAAATGAGCATAAAAGGTGTTGAGCCCAAAAAAAGAAATTTGATAAAAACTGCTTAGTGGCCGGAAAAAATGCCAGTTTCTTTTCTTTTCTTTTTTGATGAGTGCCTGATTTTACCACAATACCTCACAAATAAAGTCGAACTTACTCTGAGAACTGTTACAAAGATACAGGGTCCAGAATTGCAAGTTTCAATATGAATTATGATCAGAGCTCCAGGGAAATATAGTTGTTTTATCAAATTACATGTCAAACAGTTTAGTAAAATTGCAAACTCTTGGGTTTGAAGTGAAGACTCATTTTGGCAGGACTCTACTTTGTTGTATAGTGGATTATCTTTTCCCTGAAGATGATCGGAGCAGGAACAGCTTAAAAAAAAAACCTTTTTCAAGTTTCAAGTTTCTGAGAAGAAGCTAGAAGTCTGCTCCAAGAGAGGTCAAAGTTAAAGGGAATTGTATTATTGTAACTGTACTTGCATTAGCCAAATGTTCCAAGTTATACTTGGACTCTCCACTTGGGATGTTGTGTCTTTTAGAGAGATAGGCTACTTTATTATGTTCCTCACTTCAGAAAGCAGCAAACTATGAATGTTTTACACTAATACCTACATAGTTTAGATTAATCGGAAGGTCATTTACTTAGGTCCAGTTTATTGAGGCCAACCTAGGATGTGAGGGATACAGCATTCCACTAGAACTAGAACTATAAAAGTGCTCGGTAAAATATCTTTCTCACAAAAGAACTGAACTAACATCTTTGGCTGTAAAAGTGAAGAGCTCGATGTATTTCACTAATCACATGGCTGTGTAACGTGGTAATTTCCTTAGGTGAAGAGATGTAAATAATAATCTTGAGCTCTTATCTGGCCATGAAGTTGTGCATTTACAAAGAGATATTGCTGATTTATTTGAAGTAATACTAGTAATAGGTAAATTTGGGAGTGTCTTCAACTGCAGGGATGCAAGACCATGAGCCATTGCTTTATTACTAAGGTCAAGATGTAAATAAATGGCTGAGAAATGATTCTAAGTATTTTACAATGTAAACTCTTTTGCTTCTTTAGGTTAAATCATTGGAAAAAGAAAAGAGTGCTAGGAGAAGATCCTGTCTGGACAGCAGTAACATTCTCAGAAGAAATGGAGAGAAATGGAAGCTGGATGGATGTACAACATGTTCTTGCACGGTAAGAAGCCAGTATTGCTTACGCTGCTTCAAAATGGTCATGTGTAAATTCATGCACAATGGATATCTCATATATAATGCGAGCAAAATGTCCTCTTTTGGTTTGGTAACTCTATTGGATCGTTAAGATGGTACTATAGTTTGATTTGAAAGACACACACAAAGAAAAAGGGGAGAGATGGCGTAAGAGAACAAGGAAAACAGGAGGGAGGATCAGGGGATTGCAAGAGAAAAAGGAAACGAGAATGATATGCTCGCGTATGTGTAGTGTGTGTGTATTATTTGTGTGTTTTGAGAGAGAGAGCGAGAGAGAAAGAGAGAGAGAGAGAGAGAGAGAGAGAGAGAGAGAGAGAGAGAGAGAGAGAAAGAGAGAGAGAGAGAGTATCAAAATATTCCCATCGCATTAAGAGATTAAGACATACATAGACAGTGAACACTGATCAATAGTTTCATAACAGGAGATGAAATAAATTCATACTATGATGACTAATGTAGTACATTATTTTTAACATCCCTTCTCTCCAAAGTAGACTGGTATGGACCGTTATATATCATATGTGATGCTAAAATAGACAGTCCTCCTCTGTCACTTTTTCTCTCTCTCTCTCATTCTTGTCTCTCTGTCTCTCTCTTTCCCCAAGCACCAATGGTCCCTCCACCCCCTCATCCTTCCATCTCCACTCTCCCCCGCCCCATTTCCCTATTCATTAATACCAGGTGGAATTGATTTATTGTGGGTTTTTTTTATTGCTTTATCTTCACAGAGAGGCCAGATTGAGTGTCGGAGTGAAAACTGTGGAAGTCTCCCTGAGGCATGATGATCTTCAATTGTAGGCAATATCTGTGTAGAAATCTGGAACGAGAACGCCGAACACAAACTATAAGTAGTAGTTTATAACTTATGTTGGGAAGTCCTGTTAAGTGAAACATAAACCAGATTGACATAGCTTGAAAAAAAGGTTTTGAAGAAATGACATGGATGGTAGCTGCCTCAGTTATTTTTTTACTGAGTGAATTTGTTGGCTGCACAAGAAAGCTAAACTATATCAGGGCGATTCTCCAGTTGCCTTGTTTTTATCAAATGTCTTCCCAGAATAGGGAGATTCTGAATGCCATCAATGCCCAAGTGTTATGTTGAAGTGTAATGATTGAGACATTAGCTTCATTGTGTCTTCAAGAACACAATGTAAGGCTTAGAAAGTATTACAGGATAAAAAGCAATATTGTAAAAGTAGTAAAAACATTCAAACTGCCAAAGTATTCTGTATGATATGTAGGTGTACGCTTGTGTTTTACAAAAATTTCATGTATCTATACATATTTTATGTAAATAGAAGAGTGACTGACTGTGAAGTGCACTGGTTTTTGTATCAACGTTCTTAACCAGAAGAAGAAGAGAAAGTTTGGAATGTGAGTGTAAGTGTGTGTTAATCAGTGCTCAGATAGCTAATGATAGAAATTACTTCAGCAAGAGATTCATGATTTCAGCAATAAATGTGCCTGAATCCAGGGTGTTGAAAAATGTAGTTTCAATTGTGTGGACTGAATATTCTTCTTGTCACATTTTTAGAGCAACTGTTTTTAATGGGTTTTTTTGGCTGTAGTCTTTGTTTTAGCTCTCTATCATGGCTTTAAATTTGCATCAGAATTTGTTGACAAATTTGACACGGTATATGAACTAAATTTTTAGATTTACTGCTTCAATGATATTCTAAACATGTACTTATCACAACTGTATATTTTGGTGCACACAGATTTTCAAAATAATCAGTCTTTATCACTGCATGTCTTTGGCTATTTCTGGTGCTCTACTTTTGAAAAGGTCTGCATGTTTTAGTTAAGAAATGTCCTTTATCTCAAATGATAATTTATACTCATCTTGAAGGCTATCACAGCTTTGAGAGCAAACTGTTCAGTACTCACTATGTATAAACACCATTGTTTTCAGTTTTTTGGTCACAAATTGTTTAATTTAAATGATGTGCTTCTGTTTGTAAGTATTTTAATTATAAATTGAAAAGAACAGTGCAGGAGAGAGAACAGGCTGAATACAATTTCACTTCGCAACTTTTACATTAACAATGTCGGGTCAGAGGTAAAATCAAAATAAGCTGCAACAGTGCTGACAGAAAATTACTCCCAGACAAACAGCTGTTGTACTGAAATAAGACCACAACATTAAGTAAGATTTGTCACCTAATCTTGTCATAATATCAATTAAGAATATAATTAGAGCCTAATACACTTGCACCATACAATAATGCTTGAAAACTTTTTAAAATCAATGGTAGATAAGTTAAATTTTACATATTCAAAATTGATCAAAATTAAACAAAATCAAACCAAAATAGCAATGCTCCCACCCCAAAAAATGTTATTCAAAATACAGTCAAAACTCTTACAGTTTCAGCTTTATTAGATCTACATGGGAATGAGTGCATAGAAATTCTCTGCATCATCATTATAACTAAATAAAGATTTAAAAGACAAACTGGTATATACGAAGGCTGTATTGAAAACATTTTTAAAAAAGGCATAATCTGGTTTTGGCCCCAACGATTACTATCCTACCTTTTTAAGTCTACCTATTCCTAACATATAAACTTGCTATCGTTACTCCCAGTACTCTTGGGGTAAAAAAACGTAATGAAATACAAGTAGGCTCTTACTTTCATTTCAGTAGTTAAAACTAATAAAACCATTATTTGCAGAACAGATTTTTCCCTAAATTGGTACACATGACTATAGTAAAGACTGGATAATTTTCTTAAAAACTCACGAGTTGGTCTATTTATTTCATGAGTGTGATAGCATATTTTTGTACAAAATATGCAATCCCAAATAGCTGCTGTTGCCATGTCATAATACTTCAAGTGATACACACTAAGGCTGTCAGGCCACTCCTCTACTGTGTACTCCACACAATACAGCATAATATTTTGTTGCATTTATACTACTGATTGCATAATGCATGCCTCATGCTGATGTAAACGAGTGTATGTGCGTATATTTATGTGTGCTCACTTATCTGTGTATAATAAGTATGTGTTTACATGTGTGTATGTGATGGTTATGTGTGTACTGACGTATGGAGTGCATTCTACACTATGTGTATGTTACACCATTTGTTTTACTGCTGTACAAGAGTGATTTGTTAATACGTTTTTTTAATACATGTGTATGTGTATGAGTAAGCATAGTTGTGCCTTACAACTTTTTGTGTGAATTGTAGCAGAGTAGAAGACGTCAATAGAAACAGTTTGTCCCAAATCCTCAAGTCTATTTATTGCAATCATTGTTTTAAGATTTTTTTTTCTTTCTGTCAGTTGATTGGCTGACTAAAGAATACTCACTTTTCTTTCTGTTTATATTTCTGTTTTTATAGAGCTTCTCAAAGACATAATTTTGTTCATTATCCTACTATCATTCCACAACGGACTTATATTAAACGTTTTAGTTTCTGTTCACCTCAAGCACAAAAGCACATTGAACATTCACTATATTATTATTATACTTGCAATGTAATTTTAGACTTTCCAACTTTTTGTTCCTCTTTTACTTGTACTTACCTGTTTTTGAAAAACCCTTACATTTCAATTTGTACCTTATACATTTAGTTGCTTCATTTGCTAGTGCATGACATTAGCGTATATATAAAATTAAGGCCCACTTGTATAGTGTAGAGAGTTTAATCACATGTTGGTCATGTAATCTGTCTTCATTGACACAGGTAAGCATGAAGGTTTCAGGCTGCAAACATAGACTTACACTAAACAATGAACAAAGTTACCTGACAAAATAGTTGCTGCAGATGAACGGTCTGTTGCTGGACTGCCAGTAATGCTTTCATTTCTTTCTCATGTCATAGTCCTTTTTTTTAATTGAAAAAAAAAGTAGAAAAGAGTATTCCTTACTGCCATAATTTGTCAAGGAAAAAAGGATGTAACGTTTGTTCTCTTGTCGAAGAGAATTAGATAGAATTAATATAATGTTTTGTATAAAACGTTCTTGTTTTGTAAAGACTTTCATGTTCTTTTTGTAGCTGCTTTGACTGAACAAATGTATGAGATGATTTGTACTGAAATAACACTCAGTTATGCAATAGACACACCAATAACCATGGAACACTAGTTCCTATGATAATTGCCTGTAAGAAATTACAGACGTTAATTGAAATTCCAAGTATGATGCTCTTTCCTTGTTTTTGTTGGATCTTTGTTTTATTTTGATCCAGAAAGCCTGGCCTTAAATTAAGTTAAATACAGTCTAGTACGCACATGAAGAAATCAGTGGGACAAAGAAATCTTTTCGTCATGTACAGATTCCTCTGTCATGCATTTTAAATACAAAGAAATACATGCGCAGGTGAAAAAATTTGGGACCTAAAAAAAGTACAAGTTTGGCTATGTGTGTGTTCCTTATGTGCATGCTAGACTGATATTGTGTAGCTGTCTAATAACAAGTGATGCTGCCATCAGATGATGAGTGGTGTGTACAACTCAATAAATGGGTGGTGGGCAGGGGTGTGACGATGATAAGAGGTGGAGTATAGCAGTCAGAAAACATATGATGTGTACACGTAAAATGAACAGTGTGTAGTGTCTTGTTTTATTTTTTTGATGTAGGTACTTTTCTACACCCTCATCGGTGGTAAAAAAATTAAACCTTTAAGAAGCAAACTTCTGACCCTGCCTGTCAGGGCCACACCAAGCTGAGACGAATATATAACAACCCAGCAATAAGAACTGAGATACTTGATAAAAATTTTTCGTACTCAGGAGTCAAACTAGGGTCTCCTGCATGCAACAGCAAAGCGCCTAACTGTTACACACAGAAACCGGTAGTGTGTAGTGTGCAATTGTCAAAGGGTGATTGGTGAGCTGTGGTCAGATTATCATTGATTATAGGAGGTGTGCACAGGTCAAAGGATGAGTGTTGGAGTAGTAAAGTGGTAAAAAAAAATGATGTGAAGTAGGTGAGGATAGTCCCAGGACCTCAGGCTCAGATAACACAATCATCAAGTATACGGGATGGATTAAGGCCCGGTACGCATGTGTGCCAAATGGTTACAATAACAACACAAGTGCTAAGACAGTTTCATGTCTTCATTGTTGAAATCACAGACATTATGTTTACTGCCTCGTTAACATGCCGATGGCTGAGCACAAGAAGTGGCTATATCCACTTTTGTTTGAAATGGAGTAATCGATACGTGTAGTGAGATTTTAAGCCGTTTTTTTTACATCAGTAAATATCTAAGCCGTAGCTTAATTCAATATCAAGATAGAAACGTTTATTTTTAGACGATGTTATAGATATTTCAAAATTGTCATAATTACAAACTCATTTTTCTTGAAACTGTGACAAGTGGATTTGGTCACTTCTAACGCTCAGCCGTCGATACATGATTTACATGAAGCAAAAAAAAAAAAATCCAAAGTAGTTAAACTTGGAAATATCTGGAGAAGCAGGGTGTTTAAAGTTCATGCTATTTATTTATGACTAAATGACATTGCTCACGTCAGATGTGGGTGTTGTGACCTTGAAGGGTGTGGTGTTCGTTAGATGGATGTGGACGCTTGGAGTGTGAAGGTGAAAGGGTATAGGCTAGAAATACATAACAATGCCACCCCTTCCACTCTTTACACTGAAAATTTAACTGCTTTAAATAGCTGGATGAGTCTACCCTACACCTTTACCATAGCGCAATTTCTCTCAGGTTCAAAACCCTCTGAGAACAAGAAGAAAAGAAATAAAACTTTCACATGACTACAAACTTGTGACTGTCGACAAGGCAGCAAAATGGAATGCTGATTGAGGAGACTGTGAAAGCAAACAAATCTTTTTTAAATTTAAAAGGTGAAGCTGTTCTGCATATCACACTGGCATTTTATTATTTTATTTCAAGACAACAAATAAAAGATCAAATTCATTATTCAGATACTGGTACATTCGCAAGCAGCTACAACCATAGGCATACTGTGAACATAGTCTGTCTCTTTCTCTTCTTTCACAAAAACATGCTCACAGACACACACATATCTACATACACACTCGGGTAGCACAAAGCATTTTCAAGACCCTTCATCTGATGAAGAAGAATCTGTGTAGGGTAGTCCCAGAGAACCAGTGATTTGAGAACTTGAGCAAGGCACACTAGTCTGAGAAGTTCCTGGTTCTAAACTACCCTTTTTATCATCATATAACGTCACACCCACAGGGGGTGAAGAAATGTCCTGGCCAACATTCAGAGAATCAAGCCTTTGACTAGAGGATAACAATTTTTTATTTTGAGCTGCCTTGGTGTTTGACGCACTTCCATTGAAAACAAGAGCATCATCACAAGTGTCAGCACTCCATGACTGCTGGTTATGCGGCATATTTTCATTATTTGTATTATCACAGCCAACAGTAGACGTAGGTTTGGTCTGATCTCTCATCAGTCGCCAGTTAGGCAGTGCTTCAGACGGAGTGACCTGAAAAGAGTTCGAGGCTTCCAATTCATTACCAGACGCACAGATAGCCGGTACAGAGTTTTGAGATTTTTTTTGGCGATACTTCTCCAATAAACGGCAAGCCCTTCCACCGGATCCAGAAGTTGGAATAATGACACGATCCACACTAGAAAAGTTGAACTGCAGTGGTTCATCTTGAAGATCAGAACTGGTATTAATTAAGTCATTTTCAACTTCGGTTTTGTCTTTTCTGTACCCATAGCAACTGTCATAAAAGCTGTCATTGCTAAGGATGGGTGCACTAAGGGGCTGGAACTTTGCTTGTGGGTCTGCCTCAGTAGAACAAGTTGCTGATGTATCCGTCAGTTCACACGAGTCTAGAATCGGACAAGACAAAGAAAAAAAGAAAAAGACAACATTAATTATTCCCACCAAAAATAATATGTTGCGGTGGAATAAAATTGCAGTCAAAGCATATCTAGATTTAGAAAATGGAAAATTGTGTCATTGAAAATATTCCACATTCTTTTCCTTTCATTAATTTTCCTTTAAAGAAAACAAAATGGGAATAACATTTCTTGTCAATTTTTACCACTATTAAACAATACAGAGTAAAGGCATCATATGCGGCCGGTCAGAGTATGCGACTACTTTTTTCCACATCCTTATAATTTCTGTTTCCTAGCTGAAAACCAGTTCAAACTCTGTAATGTTATCAGAACAAAAATGGCTGGTGTTTTGTTTTATCACATTGGCTTGAAAGTTTTGCTTTCACTTTGCCAGTTCCTTGATGTGGAATGGTGAAACGAAAGAAAAACCCCCAAAAACCTAGAAGCCTCCCAATTTCAAGTCAAGGGAAAAAGTCTTGAAGAAGAAAGAATTGAAGAATTGAAAGGAAATTAAAAAGTGATGAAAAAAGAAGAAATTTATACTAATGGACCTAAAGAGAGAAGAACAAGAAAGGCAGCAGCAAGAAAAGAAAAGTATCAAAGAAGAAAAGAAAAATGAAATGGAGAGAAAAGGAGATGAGAAAAAAAGCGAACAAGCTCAAACGAAAAAGCGTTGGTGGAGGAGGGGGGTGTCTTTGGGGTGGTTTTTTTTGGAAAGTGTTTTACGGTGCTCACAACTGCATGACATCATATGAGCGCGTGGGACACACAAAACATTTTCAGTAGGTAGGAAATTTTGAATTTTGCCCAGTTGGGGGCCGAAGCCTACTCTTATCGATTTTGGACCACCAAGGGATCTTTAACGAGCACAACTTGCACAGGGACCTCCCAGATTTTTCGCCCTTGTCCAAGAAGGCTAGGTGTAGATCTTACCTACCATAAGATCAGGGGTGTGGCTGAAAGACAGCAGTAAGAAGGAGCCAAAGAGAAGAAGTAGAAAGGCTACAGAAAGAGTCAGGGGCCCAGAGGAGGGGGCAAAGGAAGTGAGGGGGTAGGGGAAGAAAGTGGAGATGAAAGCAGACGACAGAATATTGTTAGAGACCAGGAAAGGATGTGAAAGGAGAACATTTTAGAGAAGAAAATTTTCCGTCGTTATCCGGATTCGAACCCAGGACCTACTGAAAGAGAGGCAAACACCTTAACTTAAAGGCCACGAGGGCCCTCTGAAGGGGGATGTTGATGTTACAATCATACAAATACAATGATAAGGGTGATTATAATGAAGACGCCTTGGAGTCAATGAAAGTAGTTGAAGAAGATAATTAACTTAAAGAAATGGAACAAAATGGACACAAAGTCTTACAGACGGCAAAAAGGCTTTGAAATATAAAGGCTTTGGTGAGAGTGTGTGTGCATGCGTGGTTGTTTCAATGTGAAGGTATGGGTCGGAAAGTGATTACAAAAGAGGGGTGGGTGGTGTGTCCTAGTGCTGGTCACATCCATAATAAAGTCATTAAAAATTTTATCAGCAATGTAGGATCAATTCGCCATTTTTCAAACTATTTAAACTGTCCTATCTTCAAATGAGCATGAAAATGGTTTGACTTCTTGAGCATTTGACTGTATTATAAAGCCCCCCCCCCCCCTCCCCTTAGTTTCTTCTGCAAGGGAAACCACTTTGATATAATGATCATGTAACCATATTCAAAAGTATCCTTTCAAACTGGAAAACCCCATGTGCATGCATCTGAGGAAGAACTGTGATCATGGGGAATCCCCATGCGTAGTACAAAGTTTCATACTTCAAACACATAATCCAATAACAACATGCTGATGACATTAAATATCTTGACACCATACTCCAATGCTTCTTCATTACAACATCACTGCCCTAAAAGCCAGAGTAAAATCCCTATTTTCAGTTGCATTAACAAATATGTACTCACATGTTTGCTGTTCCAATCTCTTTTTCTTGCTGTAAGGTCTGTCTGACCATGGGGTGGCCTGCACATCAGGATCTAACTGTCGAATTTTCCGAAGGAAGGCCTTGTATTCTCCTTTGAGTCCATCAATTCTTTTACTGAACTCATCAACCTGCCTCTCAGGGTAACAGGTCACTTTCATTTGCTGAAACACATGTACAAGATATTCTTACACTTTCGTATCAAAATATTTTCATTGGTTTTTACTACTCACAGATCGACGTCTGTACAGTGATGTTTAAGCTATAAGAGCTTTGCCAAGAAAAAGTAATTTCTTTTTGTCGACTGACGACCTTAAAAAAAATGAAAGCTGGAAAGTACAGTTTCAACAGATTTGACACATATGATGGTGAATTAGCATTCATGCATTTGTGATATACAGTAACCTACTAATACAGTGGAGTCCCTTTAAACCAAATATGGTTATATCTGAAAACAGTGGTAAACAGAAAGAAAACAAAATCCAATAATTTGCTTTCTTTGTCTAGGTAAGAAAACTATCAATTAGCCAAAATGATCCCATTTCTGAACCAAAAAGAATTCAGAGGGTAATGACGTCTGAATTTTCACTGGCAAATCTCAAGTAACGCAAATAATCAAGACACACATGCTTCAAGATAGAGAAAAAAAAAAGAGACCCGAGAATGCATAATGTGTGTTGACTATGGGCAAAGAGAAAGAGGCATTGCCAGTGTATTGTTTGCCTAGGTGTACCACACATTAATGAGTCTACATACTGTGCATAGGCCTAGTGATATGCAAGGGTAACGAACGTGCGTTTGCAACTTGACGTTTGTTTGGTCACAATTGTTTGTGTCAAGCTAGTTCACACAGGTTTAAAAACATGAGCACATGGCAAAATGTGGTGCCTTTCATAATGACACTAGGTTTGGGTTTTCTTTCTCACTTCTTTATTTACTCTTTTGTCAGTTCTGTGCGACTCTTCTGCAGATTAAGCAAGCTGACGATGTTGAAGAAAAAGCTCAAAGTGAGCAGCTTGCCGCTCACATTGCAATTATTGATGGAGGTACTTGAAAAAAAAATGATTCAAAGAGAGAAATTTGCTGCAAGTACGATACTCCCAATGCTGTTGAGAACCACCCCTACTTAAACAACCTTTCTCAAACAAAGAAAATCTGGTGGTCCTCCAGATTTCGGTTTAAGCAGACTCCATTGTATTGAGATTTTAAAACTTATTTGATCTGTTGAAATCTTACTAAGTTCTGAACATGAATATCACAGTCAACCCAAAAACTATGAGCAGGGCTTCAAATGTTTCCCCAGTGTGCTGACAATTATATCTTATTTTAAAGAGATTGGATGACATAACACAACACAGCCTTGCCTAACCCCCTAAGGTCAAAACTCACCTTCACATAAAAATCAATGTCACTCAGAATTGAAGGCAGCCATTTTTTGACTTCATCAGCAGTGTTCAAAGTATTCTGTGAAGGAAAAAAAGGTTTGGGTAATTGTATTTCATTCAGGCCCATATTTCATGATACAAACAGTTAAATGGCTCAAGAGAGAGTCATCAGAGTATGTAACAACACATTTGCAACAGACTTACTAAACAGCCCTTGTCTGTTTTCAGATTCAAAACAAACTTAAGCAAACTTGGTCAGCTCAATTAATTTTTTATGCACTTACTGTAAATTAAATTGTTATACTTATCAGTCATGGGATAGGCTAAAAGATGCAAAGGAAGGTACTGCATTTCTTTCATGGTCTTTCATATTCCGGACAATCAAAAAGGGAGTCCATTTTTTACAATACCATCGCGGAAAGAAGTGTAGAATTTCTGTATTGTTTCAGTAAAAAAAAAGGTAAAAAAGTTATGACCAACCCTCTTTGACAAAGTAATGCGTTAAAAGGTTTTAGTCGGTTAATGATGGAACTATTCCCACCTAAAAATCAACGATAACCGGCTCGCAATTTAATACCAGACTGCTGGTTTATGTTGTCTTTTTTTCTGCTAGCCTTTGATATTGCAATAACTATCAACAGAGTTGTAAAAGTTTTGGCAGATGGCCTCTTCTTGGACCATTTGAGGTATTTATAACATTGAAACAATAGTATTGCCAGGGTTCTCCCCCAAACTTCTCAAAATTTACAGGATCTCATAGAGCATTCAAGTAGAGAGAATAGAGTGGCAAACCATGATTGCTGATGTTTATTTTGCTTTAAATTTTAGTAAGAGTTTTGGACTCTCACAACACAAATATAGGTCTAGATCATATGAGTGGAGAAGATTCTAAGGTGTTAATAGGTAAAATACAAAGAAAAGAAGGAGGAGAGATCGAAAGACGATATGTTTGATAGGAGAAAGAAGGAGTAAACCACACCAGAACATCCATCAACCTCCAACGTTGTTTGTTTCAGATCTGACAATTGAAGAGAACATATATCGATTATGTTACGTACCTTACATACAAAGAGTAGGAACAAAGATTCATAGGAAAAGAAACAATATTGTCAAACCTCCATATACCACCAACCATAGGACAAACATGAAGTTGGCAGAATAGAGGGGCTGGCAGTATGACAGATTTTTTTTGTGCACTAGCAAAACCAGGCAGTAAGTTGTTTAAAGGGGGGGGGGGGGGGGGGGGGTGACAGTATAACACTATCAGTGTTTGACTGTATTTGAGAAGAATGAAACAACAACATTAGTAATCTCCAATTTTGGCCCCAAGATTTCTGGAATACCAATATGATAACTGTTACAAGGTTGGGTTTAGGGTTAGAGGTAGGGGTGGGGTGTCTCATGAATAAGGCAATAAGGGTAGGGTATTGATTAGTATAATAATCATCGGAGTCAAAACCAGATTATCCCAAGACCTCACAGAGGGTGGCAACACCATTGTTATAGATTATGCACAGACAATGAAGGATCCTTCTTTAAGTAAGTTAAATAGTGTGGTGTATATTGTATAGAACCTTTGCTTACCAGACTTGGTCTTGGGGGTCTTTTCTTTAGTGCCTCTGAAACAGAAAACATACTCGTGATTATATTGATAGTACACAGCGGGCCCCACTTATGCAGTACAATAATCTTGGAAACCAGTCATTTCGTCAGAGTCATCTCGTCACACCACAATTATGTGTGATGAAACTACTTCCCTTATCTCTCCAAAATAATTTTGTTTTATGCCAGTAGAGTTTCTTTTTTGTTGTTGTAAGAGCTTTACGGCGCTCGCAACTATATATAAGGTCATAAGAGTGAGCGGGACACATTAAACACTTTCATGATTTTCAGTTGGTAGGAAATTTTGAAGTTTGCCCGGGTGGCGGCCGAAGTCTACTCTATTCGAATTTGGACCACCAATGGATCTTTAACGTGCACAACTTGCACATGGGACCTCAGAGATTTTACGCCCTTGTCCGAGAGGTGTAGATCTTTCCAACCAGAAGAGCAAGGGTGTGGCTCTAAGACAGCAGTAAGAAGGAGCCAAAGAGATGCAATAGACTGGCCCCGCGGAAAATTGCATTTTGAAATAGAAAAATTGCAAAAAATTGCAAGGTAAACTGACTAAAAATTGCAACCTTCCCATCCCAGGCGCATTAATACGGGCTTAACATTATTAGTTTAAAAAACATAACAATTTGAGTACCGGTAGCATAAAAGCAGAACGGCCTTTTAAAAAATCATGACCCGGAATACAAATTTTAATTAACAACATTTACTGGTAACAACACACGAGTACGTTACAATAAAGTTATCGACCAAATATAATACAATACCGCTTGACCCAAAATAATGAAACACTCGGTTTTCGTGATAACTTTTAAATGAAGGCATAAAGTTTGACCAAATTTAGTACATACCGGGTACTTGGTTCATGCGAAGATCTAGAAGTGTAGTATGAGGTTTAGTCTACAAAAACATAAAAAAATTGAAGGGAGATTCGAACAACCTCTAAATGCAAAATTAGCTGCCCCAATCAATTCAAATCCTATTCAATTTTTCTCTTGATACGTTCGATACACCGGTAATCTGTATTTAGATCTAATTCAGATATTTTCTGTTTTAAAGCCAGTATGGTATTGTTTTAACTCTAAGTGACATCGTAAAATACAGCAATTTTTTTCCCATTTTATAGTAATAATAATGTAGATCATTTCTATAGCGACCACTCCCGTGTGAACGCAGCCTAAGGCGTTTTACATTTATAAAAGGAGTGTCTACGTACATGGTAACCGGGCACCTAGCCTCAGTGTCTACGTACACGGTAACCGGGCAGTTCAGAACTCCAAGTTCAGTTATTGTCATCCGGTGTTGCCTTCAACCCCAGCCCTCTCCCGACTGCACCTTTTTAAAAAAAAAATCAATAATTCCCCCCCCCGTTCCGGAGCCCTATACATCGCAGCGCACAGACTTTGAATGAACTTTGGTGACCCCAACCGGTACTCACAATGTGATGCGAAAGCACAGTTTCACTGACCGGTCACGATGGCGCGAGCCCGACAAGACGCTTGTATGACTTTCTTTCTTTTTTTTACAACAAGTGGCAGCACAGGACAAATATTGATTTATTTTCATTCCTGTTATCGTGTACGTAGATACTGAGACTAGGTGCCCGGTTACTGTGTATTAGACACATGCATCATGTACTAACAATATTCACGCGCGCTCGCACACACACACACACTCACACACACACACGTACATCTTACAAGCGCACACACATGCACACTATACACACACCTACTTTCTGATCATACGCGCACGCTTACACACATTAGATCTATGTCTCAGTTTGTGTTGTACTTGATGCATTCCTGCCCGAATTTCCGGTCATAGCATTTGGAGTACGCCCAGTAAGCTAAAGCTAGGCCGAAACCATGATTTACGTAGGCCTGTCGGCTCTGTACTTGCACCATTTCAAAATGGATATTCTGTTAAAATTAAAGCGTTGAAGTTATTTTGCCTAAAATTGCAAGAAATTGCAAAAAATTGCGGGTTTATAGCGGGGCTCGACGAAAAAAGCGGCTGCAAGACCGTGATTTCCTGGGGGGGCCAGAATAGAAAGGCTGCAGAAAGAGTCAGGAGCCCAGAGGAGGGGAAAAGGAGTTGAGGGGGTGGGGGCTGAAAGTGGAGACGAAAGCAGATGACAGAACATTGCTAGAGAGCAGGAAAAGAAGTGAAAGGAGACAATTTTAGAGAAAAAATTTTTACCGTCGCTACCCGGATTCGAACCCGGGACCTTTGAACGAGAGCCCCCCCTAGTAGTAGAGTTTTGGAGGATCATTGTCAGCAGTTTTTATTCTAAATCACCAGTTCAAGCACATCTATTTATTGGACCATGCCCTCTTGTTTTGAACGGTGTAGCTGATTAGGTAGGCATGACGACTCGGGCACCCCCCCTCCCCTTAGGTAGGCATGACGACTTGGACACCCCCCCTCCCCTCCCCCATCTTCCACACACTACCCAACCCCTCCTCAGAAATTGATTTGCGATTGTGAGGACAATGCAATGTTTGCAAAAGTAGATTCTATGTGGCGAAATGACTGTCTCCAATCAAAGTATTCAAACTTGAGGAGCGTGACGAGATGACTATATGACATCTTGACTGCACCGGTGTGACGAAATGACTGGTACTCAATGTCTTCGTTATAACAGGATTGCAACTACAGTAGGCTAGATCTAGATCTATATTACATCAGGGACAAGGTCCAATCTTTTCACAATAATGTACAGTAAAAATAGTTGTTTAACAGCAGGTTTTCAGACATACATGTTCGGCTGTAAGAGAGGTCCAACGATCGTCAAAATCCTTAAACAAACAGAAAACGTAGCAGATAAAAAGTTAAGTATAAGTAAGCAAAGAGTACAGTCAGTAGTCGGACTCGAGTCCGAATATGAAAAAATGTTATTCAGACTCGAGTCCGAATAATGACGGCCAATAAAAATAGAATCTATGGTGGGGGGGGGGGGGGGTTTCAGGGGGGCATGAATTTTATTTTCACCACAATTTAATGTTTTGCAGTTGTTAAGTTTGATAGAGATCACTGGCGAACTGGGCAACTGGGCGTGTGGCAATGATAGTACATAACATGTACTATCATTGCGTGTAGAGTAGTAAGGCTACTTCAAAAAGAATCATCATAATCTTACCATCTTTCTGTTGTTGAAGATAAACTCTATTGAGTCGAGCTAACTGTTTCTCTTCGTTTCTGGCCATCACACGATATGGTCAGGCAGATGTATTATAGGCTAGGCATGAAGGCACTGGAAACTGGAGGAATCGTCAGGGCAACAGAACTTGGACAATGGACAAAAAGAAAACGAAAGTAGAAAGTAAAAAAAAAAGTCTACTGGTTATCTAAAACTATCTTTTATGCAAGAAGAGCTCATGGCAAAGTCTAAAAGTAAACTCAAAGGCTAAAAGACTGAAGACTTAGGTCGTCTGCTAGAAGTTTCGCAAGCTTCACACACACCCACCCACACGCACACAAAATAAGGTAGGCTAGAGTAAGAGCCTCACGGATATAATAATTTATATAAAACATCTTGTATCGATGTTTTTATTTTTATCAAAAGTCTGATCAAGATTCACACTAACTCGTTACATTTATTCAGAGGGGGCAAATTTAGCGTTTTCATTTCTTCAGTATTAATTAAGCTTTTAATCATTAATGCCCCCGTTCCCATTTTTTTCCACCTTTTTGGGTCTCTCTCCTACTCTTGTCTCTGTTCATCTTGATTTTACCAACAAAATCTACGGTTCATGCAGACTCTATCCTTCCAGGGTTTTCCTCTCCTTATAATATCCGAGACCAAAATATTTCTTTCCTCCTTCTTTTACTGTCAGTAATGATCGGGGTAGTAATAAACAAGATAGTTTAAAAAAATATCTACATAATTTAGATTCAAGAAATCTAATTCTAAATCGAGAGCTATAGATTTATAGGCCAAAGTATTGAGTTCTATTTTTTTGAGAACGTAATTATTCCGTTGCTTGGCTCCCAAACTATAGAATGAAACTAATGGGAGGCAGCGCCTTGGAAGAAAATAATGAATCACTTCAAGCAAGTTCAATTCGTATTAGATATATGGTCGTAGGAAATAGCCGATATAATACTTTAAATTGTGAAATTGCATTTCTAACATTGTTTAGCCGATTTCCCGTGCAGCATACGTTACGGGACAGAAGGCTGGCATGATGTTTTTCAATAAAGACGACCCCATTGGGATGTTTGACGAATTGTGTGAAGTAAGTAGACCTATTAAAAAAATCTTGGGACACCTATTTTTATCGATTGCTCCTTTCAAATCAAGGTGTGTGTACGCGCGCGCGCGCGCGCGCGTGTGTGTGTGTGTGTGTGTGTGTGTGTGTGTGTGTGTGTGTGTGTGTGTGTGTGTGACACACTATTATACAAGTAGTAGGCCTATAGATAGATAGTGTATAAATCCACAGCCGAACCTAGGCTATTCAAACGACCATCCACCCAAGACAATCACCTGAACCAACGACCACTTCCTAATTCCCCCTTTGTTTTTTTCCCCTTATTATGACACTATCAAAGAGGGTCACCTGTTTATGGTGACCACTGTTATTTTCCCCGACAATGGGTGGTCATCTTGTGCAGCTTTTATATAAATAAGTATAGGCCTAAGCATTGCATTATGATGTTTATTGTGTGTGTGTGTGTGTGTGTGTGTGTGTGTGTGT